CGGAGTTTTTAGCACAAAGTTTGCCTATATACTATTCTCAGAGGGAATCTGAATGAGGAATCTCATTACCTCAATCAAGTTGATTGGACCAAAATTTAGAACACTCTACTGCATGAAAGACATAAAATGATCTTGTGGAGAGATATTATCCAGAGTCTACCAACAAGGAATATTCTTGCAAAAAGATTTCATATTTCTGATCCTTTTTGCCCCTTCTGCCAGCAAGCAAATGAGACAGAGACTTATTTATTCTTCCTCTACCATATAGCTCGATCAATCTGGTTTATCAATTGGGACTTTCAAACAAAAACTTTCGCCCACTTCAGCATGCAAGATTGGATCCATAACCTGCATAGTCCAACTCTCATCTTTGGCTCCAGCAGTCCTAATCAAAGCAAACTAATGTTGTTTGCCTCCTCAGTAATCTTTACTATCTGGAAGTTGAGAAACAAACTGATCTTTAGGGGGACAAAATTGGACCATATGTCTATTTTTAATGAAGCAAGACCGGTCTTTGAGGAATCCCAAAAAGTGAGATGCACTCAATCAAGAAATAAGGAATTATGCCATAGAGACCAATGTCTTGATAGTTGCTGGTCCAGACCAACTGAGGGAGGCTTAAAAATCAACATTGATGCAGCCACTGGACAACATGGTTCATGTCTAGCTGCAATTGCAAGGAACGAATTTGGAGAAGCTATAGAAGCTATAGTCATGCAAGATTCTGATATTGATCCTACCATAGTTGAAGCACTAGTGGCAAGAATGACAGCTCTCTGGACGCATGGAAAAGAATGGAGCTATGTCATTTTGGAAGGAGACTCACATAAAGTGGTCTTTACTGCAACTCTACCACACGTGAGTCCCATGGAGCATGGTTACAATTATTTCGGATATCAAAACTCTTCTTTCACTACATGTGGACTAGGACATGTATCATTCATACAGGGAATCCAACAAAGCTGCACACAGACTAGCTAAATGGGGACTTAGTATACCCTATGAGGGCGTACTCAAAGCAGAGGAACTACCCTAACTGGTCAGACAAGAAGTGACGAAAGACTATGCAACCCAAGCCTTCACAAGGAGTAGAATAGAAGCATTATAGTATCTAGAATTTTACTAGTTCAATCTCTATCCTGTATCTCTCTTCTTCAACCAGCAAAAAAAAATATTAATTTATTCAATTTTTTAATTACATTTTTTACCTTTAATTTATTATATTTTTATAATAAAATAAAATATGATTTTATTTACACCCAAATAATGTCTTCATGAATATCGAATAATGAAGAGACGTGACATCGTGAGCCGATAATTACAGATGATTTAGTGCACGATAGGTGAGATTAAAAATAAGGCCATGATTATTCGTCTTGTAGTCGAAAAAGACGACTCCGACAATTAATAGACACCAACTATAACTACATAATCTACAGAGAAGGAGTCTCTCGATCACACATACACACACACAAAGTATACCGAAGCCTTCCTCTGCCATGTTTAGCTGAGTTTATTTCTTTTACACTGTAATCATCACTCCAAGGATATTATTTTTGTTTAATTTTAAGTGCAATAGTTCATGTATCAATTCATCTTTATAATTTATATTACTGTCTTTTCCTAAATTATCTTAAATTCCTAGTCCATTCACTTGTTATCAAGAAAATTGTTTAAATCCTCGATCTCAAAGATAAAGAAAATAATCTAGAATTAGTCTTATGTTTTTAAAATCTCACTTGAAAAGTGACGATTTTAGAAATTCACGCCGGTTCAAGTAGGTAAAATCTTAAGTGCTTGAAAACTAAGTCCTTTATAGACTTTAGCACGCCCGCAATCCAAAATACGTCAAACAAATTTCAAGGTGCGTTATCACTACAAAACATATTTTCAAAATATAATTTTAAAAGTTTCTATTAAAAATGTGATGATTTGTATTGAAAATGAGTTTTTATATCAAAATCTAAGTTTTTATGAAAACCACAATAGATTGAGAAATGTGTTAGAAATTATTTTAAAAACAAAATAAAATTTGAAGATCACTATAATTGGGAAATTGGTTCTTCATTTTGGGATGGATCCTGTTTAAACTCTTCCCTTTTCTCCATGTACAGAAATTATTTTGTTATACTTTAAAAAACTTTTGTGCTTGGAACGAACTTTAATGAGTACTTCCAAGTAGAGAATGTGAAAAGAAACTAAAATTATCATCCAAAAGGCACAAGGGCATATGTCATTTACGGTTTAATACCTTCCCAAATATTTTTTTTTATGTTTGACTTTTTTTGTAAAACATAAAGAACAACAAATTTATAATTTTTTTTCAAAGAATTTTATTCTTTCTGCTGCGCAAGTTTAATCTTATGAACAATGAATTACATATAGCAGTATATATCACTTTTAAAAAGTTTTTTTTATTAAGATGTCATCGCTTCCAAGGGCTGATGGGGCTGGAGTCCAACGCCGGTGAAACTCACAAATTCGCGTTAAAGAAAATTAAAAATTGGGACTGAGTTCTCCTTAACGGACTTATAATGAGTTTAGTCCGTCAAGGAAACTTATTTGGGGATAAATTCATTTTTAATCTTACTAATAAGTAGTTAAGTCCACTATTTTTTTAAAACTCTAAAATATCTTTCCTTAAAAGCAATTTTAAATTAATTTCCTAATTTGGGAATTATTATTCCTTAATTTACCATCAATGAAGATATATGCCAGTTGAAATTTAAATTCAAAGAATAACTGATATACTCTCTCTCTCTCTCTCTATATATATATATATGTGTGTGTGTGTGTGTGTGTGTATTTTTATATATATTTATCATATTACTGTTTATGTTACTGTTTTTGTGAGCATGTTATTATTTTTGTTGGGTATATTACTGTTCATGCTACTATTTTTGTTGAGTATTTTACTACTATTTTTTTTCAAAATATTAATACTCAATATTTTTTTTTTGAATATTATTATTTTTTTATGTATCTAAATGGTACTATTTTTTTTTTGTATCTAAATGGTACTATTTTTTGTGTTTGAATGATAATATTTTTTATGTTTAAATGTTACTATTTTTTTAATGTTACTATTTTTTTTTATGTGTGTGTATATATATATACACACACACATACGAGATATAGAAATAAATAGATTTATTCTATATATGGATATAAATAGATACGAGAGAGAGAGAGAGAAAGAATTTTAATGTTAGTCAAATTTTTAAAGTTTAAATTTTTTGAAATTAAATATAACTAATGAGCGTATTTTAGACAATAGAGATCAAAATGAACTTAATATTAAACAAGTTTTCTTGATAGACTTATAACTAAATAAATCCACAAAAAAAGAACCAGGCTCCAAATTTTCCTTAAGAAAAAAATATTCGATACTGACTTGGTATCATACCGAGAAGATTTGAAAAAAAAATATTAAGGTTTAATAATTTAATTTACGACTCAACGAGACCTAACAATTTTCTAAATTTTTTAGGATTGATTTTATCTAAATACATAGACCTTAATGAGTTGTAACTCAACTTTCATTCGAGATGACGGTGTTGAGGATTATGCTTGTTTCGGACCAAACAAGAGTCAGGAAAGGCGGAGAGTAAAACATGTTATCAAGGCAAGAAACATTTCATTAAAACTTGTAACTCAACTCAAGAAACAAAATACTCAAACTCGAACCCAACCCAAACCAAAATGTTCAACCTGAGCTTCTCAGCCCAAATATTTCCCAAGTTCAATTTTCAATACTCGGGTTAGTGAATTCAAGCTTATTTTCAGGTTAGGATGGGTTTTTGATTCTAGTTCATAATTCAAATTACTTCGGATTGTTCGCATGTTGAATGAGCCCATTCTAAAATTCTTCATTCATTTTATCTGTAACAAAGTCTAACAGGGTAAGGTTAGACTTGGACAAGCCGTAGACTCAAATATCAAGGATTCGATCCTCACTGGTGTATCCCAAACTTACCTGACACTTAAGTTTTTTGAACAATTGCAAGTCCCTGAAGTTTACTTCGCGGCGTTCCTTATTACCCAATAAAAAAAAAACCACCAAACAAACTTACAGTAATACTGTTGTTTTCCTTCTGAAATTCAAGCTAAAGTCTAACATAAACAATTAAACATACACCATACATGCAGCCAATTAACTAAAAACAAACCACCATGATTTTGTAACATTGCCATAATCAACTTAATAATATAAACAGGTATACGTCACAACAGATTAAAGTACAAACAGCACTCCAAACGTCAGTAATTAATTAATACATCCAACAAAAAATTGAAACACTGCAATTCTCCGGCAGAAAATAATTAAAACAACCCAGAAATCCAGCGGAAACATGCAGTACCATTCCAGCAGGCAAAAGCTTCACACAATCCAAGCACTCTTTGCTGTGAAGGCCTCTGATTTGTAGTGAAGACCGAAGAAACTTAAGAGTTTGAGACAGACAATGTTTCTATGTGGGGACTGATGAGACAAGAGAAATGAGAGTGAAAGGGAAAGGGAAACCAGATGCAGGGGAATGATGAGATGAGAGAAATGAAGATGCCAATTATCGGGTTACAAATCAGAAGAAGTCAATCAATGTGAAGGATGGGAAATGAAGCCAGCATAACTGCAGTATGTAATGATCAAAGAGCGACCAATTTTTTACACTACTTTTGTTTGCTCTGTGCAATGGATGTAAGAATCAAATAAGGTAGCAATGCAATGGATGCATCCACTCCAGTCTTTGTGGCAAAATTGCACCAATAGCACCACCCAAGATATAACAATCATCCCAAACAACACTATACATTGTTTTGCAGATCATTCCCATAAGCTATCACAAGAACGAACAACAAACACATTCATTTCCTAAGAAAAGATACTAATCCGCAAGTGTAAGAAATAAGTCCTGAAGGCTTGTCAAGGAAATAATAAGTATCATCACCAACCTAAAAGGACCCACAAAGGTTTACGTCACATATTACAATTAAGCAACCACTCACAATTTTTTCTTGTCATAAGCAGTAATATTTTGGGGTTCACATTCTGGACTGAATAAGCGAACCAGTAAAGCTGTGGTTGAGCTTACAGAGACAGCTCCACAAGCTGCCCACCTTAGACTCCGAGGAACTGTGATTCTAGGGCCTGCATTAACAGGGAAGTAATATAAATAAGATCATTCCTCTGATGGTATCAGCATAAAGCTTAAATACAAAGTCATACTCTTCCATCTCACTATCAAAACTGTACTACCACCAAAATTTGTGGATCCAATTCACAAACGAATTCAAAAAAAATAAAAATGAAAAGTGCAAAATAAACAAAAAGAATCTACATTTTAAAAACTGAATAGAACAAGAACCAAGTATTATATGATTACAAGAAAATCAATCATCCATCTCAGGGAAACTAGCCAATAAATAATAAATTTTCTAATTTGTATTTTTCTTTCCTCGTCCTATTTTATGTTTCTAGAAACCTATTAGCTATTAGGTGTGTCCCACTTGGTTCTTGGCAAATTGCATAATTTCTATTCAATGGGTAACTCTCTAATATAAATATATCTTTCTCAGTCTACTCTAATTCAAATCATTCTATTCCAAATTTCTTGATAATGACCAACACTAAACCTGATTAGCAAATCGTCTGCTAAAGTTTCAGAATTTCTTTTAAGCCCAAATCACCTCAACTCTTTCAACACAAAACTACCTGAATTTCTGAGCAGCCATGGAACCACAAGTTCAAATAAAAAATCCTTTCCCCTCTCTTACATTTATTAGTTCATCCTTTAATTTTCTTGCCTTTATACAATTGGGCATCAGCCTCAGGCGAGGTCCAAAGATTCTCCAAAACCTTCTTTTGTGCCCAAAAATTAAAACAAAAAAGTCCCATCTTCTCTATATTTTCCTTTGTTTCCTTTTTTCATTCAATAAGGAAAATTTACATAAACCAAAAAAATTACGGGGGAAGAAAAAAAAGGAAACAGAAACAACATAAACCAATACATATACTTAGTCATCAAAATTTTCTCCAAAGTCCACTAAAAGTAAAGAAGAGTTAAGCATAATACATATTAATAGGACCATACAACAGATTATTCGCATTGAAGAAAAACAAACAGCAGAGAAACAAAAGAATTATAACAACAAAGAACAGACCATAATGCAAGCGGCAGAGAATCCAAAAACCTAATGCTCCTCCAACAGTAAATATCCGAGCAGTTTGTGTCACTAACTTGGAACAAGGTTTTGCGTCTGATCTCATCAACTCGCCATCAGAGAATCCAAAGAAACGCCTCAATGCCATGCCTCACTTTCTTTTGTGCTCCAAAGCTGGCAAAAACCACAAGTGATGCTTATTTTGAACCTCCCAAATTCAGTTTTTATAATGCAACAGACCCTTGAAGGGTCTCAGGAAACTGAAAATCAGGCAAACATGATTTTATAACAAGCCAAAGGCAAAAACAAGAATACTCTTATGAAGCACTAAGAGGGAAAAGAACATAAAATGACACTCATCCTTACTAGGTTTGTCATCAATGCAGACAACATTATACTTTTCAGATGCCGCCTTCCCTTCTCTATACAATTATGAGAAAATTTGGATTTAACCTGTTGTATGTGCTCCCTTATTTAAAAAATGGGTAAATTACAATGACATCCGTTTGATTTCTCAAATTTTCACTGCACCCCTTTTAAAATTGCATTGGCATCCCTTAAGATGCAATCACATTTTCACGACAAACTGATTTTTATTGCAGTCAGCAAATTTCATAACATTAATTGCCCATTTTGCAATCAAATGAGGATACCCAATTAGAACAGCTACAGAAAATTGGACACATACACACACACACACAAAGTTAATAGGCATTACATACCGAATCAAAATTAAGATAATTCCTATTAATTTAGAAAGAATCCATACACAAGCTCCTCTGCACCGCCATTCACAGAACCAAACCTATCCAAAGATTGTTTCATCCACAATTATTGAATTCCTATTAGAACTTAGAAGCATAGAAGAAATCATTTTATTTAACAACAAACTTAATTTGACAAAATCAACTCACAAGGATGAAGAATTAAAACTCTGAATAATTCAATAGATCTTGGGCTCCAAGTTCATATGTTGCTAAAATTCAACCAAGAAACCCAACATCTCCGAAAGTAGTCATTGTCATCTTCATATCGCGAATAGAGAAAGTGTGGTGGTGGGTGAAAGGTGGAGATGTCAGCTCAGAGGTGGGTCAGTGGCTGAAGAGGTGGTGGTGGTGGAGGTGAAGGTGGATGTCTCTCAAGTTGGTTGTGGCCTTGGTCTTGATCTCCACTAGCTGGTGACATGTGAGTGTGAGTGTGAGTGTGTGCGTGATAATGAGAGAGAGAGAGATGACAGTGGTAAATGGAGGGGGGGGGGGCAGGAAGATGGAGATCACAATAGTTTTAAATCCGGCCCAGATGTCAAACCGGAAAAATGACCGAGTTAATGGGCTATTGGTTCAACCATTAAAATAATTATTAATAATAATAAATAAGCTAAAAAATATAATAATTATGAAAATAACATGCTTAATGTACATTAAATCAAACAAAAACCCCAAAATCATCAAACATGTATAAATCAGTAATTAGTAAACCCAACAATATCTTATTTCATAGCATCAATATCCAATAATCAATATGAATAATTCAATATTTACAATCTAGAATATATAAATGACCACCATTTTGCAGTAAAATCATCAAAAGATAATATGTATAAGGCCTGAAATTTAACACTGATAACACATACTAATATATAACCTAATTGGGAGAATTATATTTCTCTAATCTGCTCAATTAATCAAACACTAGCACCCATAAGCAATCTGCTCTTAATTGATCAAACAATCTGCTCTTAATTTTTTAAATTGATAATGTGATCAATGTTGAAATAGCCAAATAGAAGAGAGATTAATTAATAAATTCATAGTTTTATACATTATCAATGTGTGAATGAGCAGTATATTAGTGTATTAGTATGACACAATTTACAATATAACAATATCATCAAATATCAAACAAGTCTAAATACTAAAATAAAATAGCAGAGACTCAGTAAAGGCAGAGAGAGAGAGAGAGAGGATGTACAGAGTGTTGTGCCGCACTTGAAGGAATGAAATGGGTAGAGAATGAGGAGGTGAAGCAACCGTCGATGGAGCCTTCAATTTCGAGTCTTCGTCTTCGTCTTCGAGTTCGACACTTCGACTTCGAATCTGCGCAGTGCGCAGAGAGACAGAGAGATGACTGAGGAGGAGTGAGTCGTCGCTCGATTGACCTCACAGACGCTCAGATGGTGGCGAGAAGAGGAGCACAATCGATTTTGGGCTGGAAATGCCCAAAAGGACCAAAAACACCAATTTTATCGCATTTTAATTGACCGGTCAGTTACTCCAAAATAGCCGGGGTTGAACGGTTTTCTTGAGAACCACCCGGTTCAGTGGGTTCCTGCTAAAATTTTTTGCTTAACCGATCTAATATAGGTACCGACCCGATTTAGGCTTACCGGGTCATTCGGTTCAAACCATTGGTTGGTTATGAAAAAGCCAGACTCAGAACACATCTTAAAGAGGGGAGAATTACAGTGACACCCTCAAACAGTTTGAAACAATTTCAATAGGTACCCAATAATTTTGAGAATTAAACTGGCATCCCATCAAGTTTGATTTTAAATTTTAATAGTATTCGTACGATGACGAACCATTAAAGGTGGTGACAATAGTGAAGATTTCAACATTTAATTTTTTGTCTAAAAAGCATCGTTTTCCTGCTTAACATCATTAGTAAAAAATAAGAGGAAAAAAAGAGGAAAAACTAGTTAATCAATACCAACATCCACAACCCCGCCCCAAACAACCACCTCTATTAATAAAACCCAAATTCCACCCTCCAACAACTGGTTACACCACTGCTCTATGTTCCATTGCAAACCAAATCAACACAATTCGACACTAAACTAAATATCATTCGTAAGTACCCAAAATTACCATTAACCACCTAAAACTAAACATAGCAAGGTTTTAAAGTGCGTGGTCATATAGACACATGCACACACATACACATTTATTGGTGATGATACTGAGAATAAATTTGTACAGAAAACAAGTTTGCAACACAATAAGGAAACTAATTGACATTAAGAAAAGACTGATAGACCTATTACTCAAGAATCCAAATCAATTTGGGGTTGAACCATCTCGGCTATTACCAAACAAGCTCAGTTCACCTAAAACAACTCATCCCATAGTGAAAGAAAGGACAGAAGAAGAATTACACCATCATATCTTATTTGGGGAGGAATAATCTATCTCCAGAATGTCACGTCATGCCTAGTAAAAATACACTAATGACCAAATATTTTCTCCAATATCCTAACAAACTAGGAGACTACCCCATCTGTGCGCGTTGATTTTCGCAAAATAAATGAACGGATAGATCTCTCCTTTGTTGAACTCAAGTTTTCCTGAGACGTCGTAAATTCCGTAGCAAATGGATGTTAAGAAATGGTGATGAAGAGTGATAAGATTCTTTGAAGACTACCTGGTCACCTTTGGGTTATCGAGTTGATTCATGTCACTCAAAAAGAAGGGTTAGAAGAGCACTAGAGTGTTTTTTGGCGTGATCCCTCTGACGATCAAGTCGATATATGAGAGAGGGTTGGAAAAACACAGTCTTGGGTGAGAATTTTTGTACTTTGCACTTGGGTTTGTGAGAGCTATTTATACCTCCGTAGAGTTAATCATTGCAGACAACTGAGTCCCCCAGAGAAGAGACTCTTCATTGGCCCATTCAAAAGGTAGCAGATGGTGCTCAGTTCTCGAGCAACAAACCTTCATTTTCATGTGATAGAAGCTTATACATTTAATGCTTAGATCCCCGGGCATTTAATGCTCCCTTTTCTGGGATCGCTGAACAATAAATATGTCTCCTTCCTTTGAGGGATCATTTAATGTTCCCCATTGTGGCTGCGCATGTGTAGGGGTATTTTCGTCCATTATCCCCTCCAACTTTGCTCTTTGTACCTCGTGCATCACTGTTATTGGTCACTGACCTGGCTCTTCTGCCACTCTGATTACTTTGGAGAGGGGAATCACTCATTAACAACCAATTCTGCTTCTAAGTCACAATCACTGCCAAAACATGCTTCGCCGTCGTGGAGGGCTGAACATTGAGGTGACGCGTTAGGTGGAGAGACCCTCGGGGGACTAGAGGCGCCGAGAACATATATCAAACAATGAAAGCTTTGGGGGACCTTGGTACTAAGGACATGTGTCAAATAGGAGGTGCTCTGAGGTGTCCCACTCCAAGGACACGTGTCACCTTAATGAGGGTCCAAGTCTTTATTGCGCCAAGGGCACGGGTCAGTTAAGGAGAGCTTCAGGGTGTCTTATGCCAAAGATACGTGTCGATTCATGGAGACTCTACCTTCATCATGACGAGGCCACATGTCGTCCTCCATCAATTTGTGGAAGCGTCCCAGCAACTGTCTCCAACCCTTGATCATTGTACGACGAGGGTGACGTGGTAGAGGAAGATGAAAGGGTTTGACCTCTCCTCCCTCGTGCAACTGTTTTCCCAGGCTTGGGTCATTTGGGTCCTATGCCCCATTTAATGCACCTCTTTTGTTCTTTATGCATAATGATGAGTCTTGGCTTTTATTTAAACTGAGTCATCGTCTTCATCTTCTACTTTTGCCAACCCTGCAACTCAAAGAGTCCTTCACTAGAGTTTCAATAGAGAAGTCTCAGTTCATATGAAAACCATCAATCCCTTAGAATCCACCAGAGAAAAAAGCCACTAGTAACTATTTTTCTTTCTCTCTTAGTAGTCCTTCTTTGTCATTTTGTTTCTCAGTCTTCCTCAACCCACTCTTAGGTTCCCATCTTTAGGAATCCAATCTTCGAATCTTTTTTCTTCTATTCCATGGCGAGACGTCATTGGAATATAAACACTGGGGTTGATGAGGTTGGTCCCTCAAGGCTGAGGAAATATACAGTCACAGATTACCAACAAATCACCAATTTTAAGACCCACTACTCCATTTCCCTCGGGTTTACTGTAAATGACTTCGTGTCTAGTCTTCACAGTGCCACCGTCGGCACTAAGGAGGTCATGTCTTTCTATTCCAAAACCATCATGGAGGGAAGTGTTGATTTTCCCTTCACCCATTCTTCTTCACTTCCTGTCCCAATTTTGTCTCTTCCTGGTCACTTTAAATGAGCGTCTGCAATTGAACCTCAGCTTGGAGGAGATCTTGTTTTGCTATGCTTTGGTGAAAGTGATGTCTCAGTAGAAGTTCTATCTCAATGCCCGAGACCCCACCATGTATCTTGTGACCCACCTTCTAAACTTCGATACGGGGTACAAAGATAACCTGCTCATCTTCGATGACCAATGGGAGTGGGAAGTTGACCCCAAGTACGCTGACTTGTGGTACCCTATGCAATGGCAGACTACGAGTACGTCGACTCTTTTCTCTCTTTTCGGCTTTATGGTCCCTCGGCGTTTATATTCTTACTTTTAATGTTGATTTTTTTGTTTTCTATAGGAATCTCTTATGCTGAGTGTGCTGTCTTCTTCAGAATCAAGTTAACCTCGGTGACATTATCACAACCTGGGGAAACGTGGGCAACGAATTTGGTTAAGTTGCGCACGTGTTGCTAGACTACACTCTAGGATACAAAAACTTCTCTCCGAGAAAGATGGTTAGCACTAACTGGAGAAAACTTAGAAGAAGACCCCAATAGAGCCACTAAGGCCGAGGTAGAAACTGTCGAAGGCACAGTTGCTGACGTCGAAGAAGTAAAGGATCCATCCACCACCATCCATGTTGAGGAAAGCACCCCGAGCAGGGACACTTGGCCAGACTTTGACATTCTTCAGAACCTTGAAGACGAAGATGCCTTGGATATCGCCATGTCCAACCCACCTCGCCTTTCTCTCAATTTGATTATGAAGAGAGCTACACTCACCCCTCGAATGGGGATGTGGCTTGGGCTCTAGGACCAATCCTTCCAACAAGGAACATACTCATCCTTCTAGGATGTCGATCTCAAGGGCATTGCCTCTAACACCCCCAATCACCAATGATCGAGCTGACCCATCGCTGCCAGGACACAGTCGAGTCCATAATAGGGATCCTTAAATTAAGGAAAGGAGAATAAAGAAAAGCCATAATGGTGTTGGCAGAGGCAAGAACGTTCTCACCCCGACACTGACTCCAACTCCAACATTGACCTCAACGTCAACGTCAACGCCAACGCTAATCCCCACTATTCTAGAGTGGCACGGTAGGGGCCAAGATCATGACAACTAGTTGATCCTAGTGACCGACTCCATCGTTGCCTCTCTTCACACTACCTACACCGTGAGTGAGGCAATCCATTTTGATGCCGACATGGCTATCCATCGGGGTTGTGGGAGCAATCACTTGTTCCACTCCCTTATCCATAATTCATTGGTGGTAAGATTCCAACACTTGTGAATTCTTCTTCCTTTTGATTTAGCGTCTTCCTTGGTGTAACTTTTCTGTCTTTTGTCTTCTAGGCAGCTCAACAAGTGTCTGTCATTGTTGAGTGCTTCCATGCCCACCGGGAAAAGGTCCAAGAGTGTGAAAAACTCCAAGCCAACCTTGAGAAAGCCGAGGAGCTCTCACCGCGACCAGAAAGAGTTGGAAGCCCAAGATAAGACCCTGTTTACTCAAGGTGCTAAGATTGTCGAGCTTTTCGAAGAGAGATAGGCTGCCAAGGGAGAAGTTGACAAGGTAAAGGCTTCGTTTGTTGATGCTAAGAAGAGAATTACCGAGGCCATGAAGCAAGCGTCTCTGGCAGAGGTGAGGGTAGCCGAGTCAGAGCAGATTTGTACCTCCCTCACCCAAGAGTTGGACAAGTTGGGGTAAGAGATCATCAACTAATGCGCTGATAACATTTTGGTGGCCTTTGAAGAGACTAAGAGGGAACACTTCAAGATTGGGTGGGATGAGGCACATTAGGCAGCCGGGGTCCTACCGAGTCTTCACTTTTCAAGGAGCATGAGTACATTTTTTCCAAGGAGATGGTGGAAGCTGCGATCAAGGTTGCGGCTAAAAATGATGGGATGCCTCAAGTTCCAAACTTAGCTCCAATAGTTGAGACTGCGGTCCCAACTCCGTCTCCTCGGGACAACACTGTTCTTTTCTCTACCAACGTTGCTCTAGCTCCTGCCTCTGCCGACGTTTTGCCTACCCCTCAGGGCGATGCTTCTACTGTTCACACCGACATAGTGCCTTCTTCTTGTAGTGCCGAATCTTTCTTTGTCAATATTGATGAGCTTTTTTGTGACATTGGAGGTGGCATTAGCGGCGAGATTACTGGCCCTCCATAGAGCAACTTCTCCACCTTTTTTGTAACTTAGTTTTTCTTTCATCTTTATAGCTTGAGGGGCGCAAAGCCCTCCTCTTTTGTAATACAAGAATGTTTTTCTTTTTGCAATTGTTTGTCTTTTATCTTTTCCCCTCTTTTTTTTTTTTTTGTTGCAGTGTATCATTCCTCGGTCCAAGGTTCCAAAACCTGAGTTAGGGATCATCCTTCTCCTCGGGGGTATAGCTTCCCTCGGCCTCGATTTCTTTTATAGGGCAAAAAGTTTCTACGTGTTCTCCCTTGGGGGCCATGCCCCATCCAGGAGGCTTCGCCACCTAGGTCTGTTTGGGGTAAGTTTTTTCCTAAGGCTTCACCCGCGAGACCATATCCCATCTAGGAGGCTTCGCTCCTTGGATTTTTTTGGGGTGAGTCTTTTTCTGAGGCCTCACCCTCGGGACCATACCCTATCCAAGAGGCTTTGCTCCTTGGGTCTTTTTGGGGTGAGCCTTTTTCTAAGGCCTCATCCTTAGGGTCATGCCCCTCAAAGAGACTATTGCTCATTTTGTCTCTTTGGAGGCAAGAGTCCTCAGACTTTGCCTTCAAGGCCTTGTCCCTTCTAGGAGGCTTTACTCCTTTATTTCTTTTGAGGCGAGGGCCTTACGATTCCTCCTCTAGGGCCATGCCCCTTCCAAGATAGTACACTTAGCAAAAATAAGTCTTTCTTTCTAAAAAATAGTACTTTTTCAAATTCATTACATTCCAAGGCTGAAGTACAACATTTTCTTTCATATCTTCTAACTTGTATGATCTAGAACCCCCAACTGATATGACTCTATATGGTCCTTTCCAATTGGGCTCCATCTTTTCGTTGCCTGGGTCACGAGTATTTTTGACTACTCTCCCAATCACCAGGTCGCCTACTTAGAATCTTTGAATTTTTACTCTTTTATTGTAGAGTTTGGACACCCTTCTTGGTACTTCTCTAGTCTTAAGGCAGTTATTTCTCTTTATTCCTCCATGAGATCTAAGCCTAAGCAAAGTTGGTGATCGTTTTCCCCTGTGTCAAAAGGTTGCGTTCTTATAGTGAGGAGGTCTACTTCCAACAAGATAATTGTCTCTACTCCGTAGGCAAGGGCATAAGGTGTTTCGCTCGTTGAGGTCCGCAAAGTTGTCCTGTAAGACTAAAAGACATTCAGGAGTTCCTCCACCCATTTTTTCTTAGCTTTCACCAACCTCTTCTTGATTCCATTGACTATAATCTTGTTTGAAGATTCCACCTATTGTTGGTTTATGGGTATGAAGGCGTGGAGTAATAATTCTGGATTTTTGAGGTGCTCACAAAAAGATTTGAAGGGTTATTGTTAAACTAAGTCCCCATTGTCCAATATAAGTGCACGGAGAATCTCAAACCTCGTCACTATATTCTTCCACACAAATTTTTTGGTCTCCGTGTCCTTGATATAAGTCAATGACTCAGTTTTGACCCATTTCGTAAAGTAATCAGTCCCAATCATTAGGAACTTGTTATCACTAGGAGCCCTTGTGAGGGGTTGACCAAGTCGAGTCCCCACTAGGAGAATGGCTAAGGACTGGTTAGTGGGTGCAAATCTCCTGCTAGCTGTCTAATAGCGGGAGCGAACTTTTGACATTGGTCACACTTTTGGACATAAGCTTGTGCGTCCCTTTGCATCCACGACCACTAATATCCTTGCGATATGATCCGATGGACCATGGATCTTCCACCCGAGTGCCCCCCACATATGACTTTGTGCACTTCGTATAGGAGGGGCTCAAATTTATCTTCACAAGCACAAAGAAAATAGGGTCTGAAGAACAATTTTTGGTACAAATTTTGATCCAGGGAGGCCCAGAACCTTGCGGCCCTTCACTTTATCTTTCTACTTTCTTTGGGACATTACGAGTGTTCTTCGGATATGAGGAACTTGAGTAGTTGTTCAATCCAACTAGGGGGCTCTTCCCCTTCTTGGATCGTAATTACTCTAGGGAGATCATCTATACTGGAGTTAGGGAGGAACTCTACAGTGATCTTATGTGTCATATTAGAATCCAACGCCGAGGCTAGACATGCCAAAGCGTCGGCGTGAGCATTCTTATCCTGTGGAGCTTGCTTAACTTCCATCTTCTTGAACTTGTTTGACTAGGGTCATTGCCTTGTGGTGATAGGCTTTCATCCTCGGATCCCTTGCTTCAAACTCTCCATTGATTCGCACGAGATTTAGCCCAGAGATAAGAGCTTTGTACTCTGCCTCATTTTTGGACACCTTGAAACCCAACCAAATATTATGCTCTGTGACTAATCTCTCAAGGGAGACCAATAACACTCCGATTCCGGACCCCTTATGTTGGAGGATCCGTCCATGCAGAGTCTCTTGGAATGTACTTGGTCGTCCATGGAGGGCTCCTCCTCGAGGGGAAATGGCTCCCTTGGGTAAAACTCAACAATAAAGTCCGTCAGCACTTGCCCCTTTATCGCAGTGCGAGGTCTGTAATGGATGTCATGTTCTCCCAATTCCAAGACCCCATTTCGCTATTCTCCCAGAGAGGTCTGTTTTCCTTAGGATTGCCTTCAAAGGTTGATCTGATAAGACGGTGATAGGGTGCGCTCGAAAGTAATGCCTCAACTTTCGTGCGGCTGTGACTAATGCCAATGTAGTTTTATCCAAAAACAAGTATCTCGTCTCCACGTCTAGAAGAGTTTTTTCACATAGTACATCGGCTTCTGTTCATGTTCATGCTTGTGGACCTGTACACCGTTGACAACAAACTTAGAAATGGCCAAGTAGAGGAATAATATCTACTCCTTTTTTGGAACTGACAGGGTCGGGAGGACCCTGGGATACGCCACTTTGAGCACTTTCTTGCATTCTTCGTTCCAAGTATCCTTCTCGGATCTTTTGATTGCACCGAAGAAAGGCTACATTTGTTTGATGACCGGGATATAAAAAGATTTAAGGCGGCTAACATATTCGTTAGTTTCTAGATGTCTCAGATGGTTTGGGGGCTACGTACATCCACGATAACTTGTATTTGCACCGGGTTGGCCTCGACGTTGCGCCAACTTACTAAGTACCCTAGGAACTTTTCAAAGCTAACTCTAAAAGAACATTTAGCCGTACTCATCTTCAGCACATACTCATGGAGAGTGGAGAAAGGCATCCACCAATTTCATGATATGGTCATTCTGACTCCTGCGCTTAATCAACATATCGTCAATGTACACTTCCATGATATTCCCCATTTGTCGCTTGAACATTCGGTTCATGATCCTTTGGTATGTAGCACTTGTGTTCTTTAGTCCGAACAACATGACCTTTTAATAGTAGACCCCTCTTAGAATGATGAAGGTAGTATTCTCCTAATTAGGCGGGTGGAGGGGAATCTAGTAGTAGCTGACTCGGGTGTCCATGAAGGTCATGCGTTCGTGTCCCGCCGTGAAATCCACACAAACACGCTGTGAAATCAACCAACTGGTCAACCTTAGGGAGAGGATAATCATCCTTAGGACAAGCCTTATTCCAGTCTGTGATATCCACATAGACATGCCACTTCCCACTCTTCTTCTTTGTGTAGACGGTATTTGACAATCATTTTAAAAATTGTACTTCCCAGATGACATTAGCTTCCAAGAGCGTCTCTACCCCTTTGTTCACTACTCGTGCGTGGTGCGGCGCCATGTGTCGAGGCTTTTACTTGACGGGCTTATGATTGGGATCAACATGAAGTTCTGTGAGTTATAATATCCAGGGTTATGCATTTTATCTCCGTGACGTCCCATGTGAACACATCCACATTTTTCCTTAAGAAATTAGCCATTTCTTCTTGCTCGGCCTTGGACATGGTGGAGCTGATCAGGAAGTATCTCTCTTTGTCCCCCCTCCCTTAGGAGTACCTTTCAGAGGTCCTCCACAGAGCGGTTAGCTAGGTCAATTCGCGGCTCATTGACACCCAGCTGTCCAGATTGTAGTTGTTATTTATTCAACACTTCTTCTGGGGCACGCTCCCTCTCCTTGAAGGTAACCCCCGCTTTTACAGCAGTATAAAAATAACTCTTTGATGAGGTCCGGTTTTCACAAATCCCCATTATCCCCTCCGAAGTGGGGAACTTCAACTTTTATGGTAAGTAAAATGCACTGCTACAAGTGAGTGCAACCAAGTCCGCTTCATTATTATGTTGTATGGTGAATCAAAGTCGATCACTACGAACTCTGTGTCAATTGTAACAGGCCCGGTGGTGACAGACAAAGTGATCTTTCCTAGCGGCAGAGTGAACGATCTGTTCAACCTAACAAGGGGTGTCTTAATAATGGTAAGATCCTTAGAAAGACCCATTCGCTTTAGCACATCAAGGTATATCATTTCTGAAGAGCTCCCCGAGTCAACCAAGACCCTTTTGATATCAAATTTTGCGATCCGTAAGGTTATGATCAAGGCATCCTCATGGGGAAGGTCACGCCTGTTAGGTCGGCGTTCGAAAAGGTGATACCTCCTTGATCTCGTCTGGGTCCTCTTACTTATCTGGCCCCTATCTTTCTCCTCTACCCTCCTAGCAAAGGCTACCATTTTCAGGTTAGACTTGAGAGTATTGATCGTCGGCCTTTCAAGGGAGCAGACGTGGATGACGTCGATAACATTACTACAAGAAAAGATGTGGTCATTAGCAACGTTTGTCTCCCTTGGCATTTCTTCCTCGATATACTCTTTGAGGTGTCCCTCCTGGACCAACTTCTCCAAAAAGGACTTGTATACTCGGTAGTCCTCGGTAAGGTGCCCTACATCCTTATGGTACGAACACCTGACATTCTAATTCTTGGTGGATGGATCACATTGCATCTTCGACGACCATTTGAAGAATGGATCGTTCTCAATTTTATGCAACAACTTGTAAATAGGCTCCTTGAACATGATGTGGATCCCTTTGAAAGAACTTCCTAACGCTGGGATCAGACCCTTCCTAAGGGGGACTCCCTCCTTCTCCTTATCTTTCTTCTTAGGAACCAAATTTTTTCCTTTGTTCCCTGCCAAATTGTCTTCTATCCGAGAGTATTTGTTGACACGGGCCATCAGCTATCCCATGTCCACTACCATCTGCTTCGTTAATTACCCATAAATATTTGTGTCCTAGGATAAGTCAAATCTGAAGGAGGCCGCCACCATGACCTCGGAACATCCTTCTATTTCGTTTACCTCCTTCCA